AACAGTAACACAAAACTATATCAGCAATGGTAATAAATTCTAGCGACAAATTTTGCTACAAATTCATATTCTGCTTATCGTTGCTTGCCTCGAAGGCGTATTTCGCGAATAATTACTCAGGCCACGTTAACACGTCGGCTTATATGGTCGACGAGGGAGCAGCTTTCAACGAGATATTCATACAACGTACGATTTTCTAGTGGACAACCTGTCCGGCGAGAGGCTAGAATTAACCAGGGTAGACAGGAGGCAAATGGGGGCTTATCTTTGCATAGCTAGAAACGAAGTGCCTCCGGCGGTCAGCAAGAGGGTTAATCTAAAAGTAAATTGTAAGTACTTGAAAACGTTTATAGTCAACACCATCAAATCAAGATTGAAATCAACTGATAGTCAGACCAATCCAATTTAATGATTATTCTTGTAACAGAAAATATATTTTAATAGCATTATTATGTTAATGGGAGAGCGAATCGTTGAAAAAACACAACGTAATTTGCATTAGCAAAAAAAAAAGTCAAAAATTAAATGAAACATAAACATGCCAAAATCAGATTTCTCATTTCTATCACATTCTCTTATTTCTTTATACCATTCCAGTTCCTCCTAGCGCTAAAGCACCCAATCAACTGCTCAGTTCTCCCTTGGATACAAACGTGTCGCTAATCTGCTTAATCGAGGCTTATCCCAAGACGATTAACTTGTGGATGCGGAAGGAGCAAGTTATCATGAGCGGGTATGTGCCGAGACAATATTGACAGTTTGGTCTACCAATCCTCGGGCGTAATTCGAGTCCGCTGTTCGACAATCTCTTTGGCGATAAGAGGCAAACCGTTTCCGTATTGCTTTTTGCTAAATCGCTCCTGACCTCGGTCACAGCGATTTCAGATATCGATCATGGTGGCGATTCGATTATTCTAACGAGACGTCGAATAACGGAATCTATTCTCCCTATCGCAAACCTTAAACGTAAGTGATATGTCAATTCAGAGGCAGATACGAAATCGATGAGCAAGGAGATCCCGACGAGGAATGGAAGACGACGATCGTGTTGAAGATAAGACGTTTGGAGAAAACGGATTTGGGTGAATACACGTGTTCAGCCTCTTCAAGTATGGGAAAAGCTGAGGCGACTCTCAGAGTATACGGTGAGTAATCATATACATAGGTATAAGAATATTGAATATATAATTAAGCTATCGTTTGATAACAATCAGGCAAGATTATTATCCATTATAAATCTATGCTCAATAGAAATTCTTCCATACAAAAAGAGTATTTTTGCAAGTTTGAAAATTTAGTTAGATACAGATCGGGAAATAATTTTGTTGCACTATAAAAATAATTACGTGGGAATTTCAAAATGACGAGCAATGTTGCAAAAAATTTTGACATTCTAGCAACCAATTTAAGCTCTCTGCGTAATTATTTTGTTGGTCCAATAAAATTATTTTCAGATCTGTATCTAACTAAATTTTTACTTCAGCAAAACCGTACTTTTCCATGCAGTATAGGTATGATTGATATCGCATATAGCACTACTTTTGATGACATAATAATATAAAAATAAAATAAATAAAATTTCAAGCATAATTAAAAATAATATTATAATCCACTATTTTTTTCAACTGCAAAAAGAATAATTTAAATGTTTTTAACGACATACATATTCATGAAAAGAACAATTTTGCTGAATTTTTATCTAACAATTTAATGAAATACGAATCTGAAAATAATTTTGTTGGACTATTACAAGTAAAACAATTATGTAGAATGCTCAAGCTGATTGCTAGAATGTCAAAACTTTTTGCAACATTGCTCATCATACTTGAGTTTCCTACATAATTATTTTAATGGTCCAACCAAATTTTCAGACTGCATCTATCTAAATTTTTACTTAACAAAATAATTTTTTTTATGTTGGGATCTTTGATAAACAAAATACGTATAAAGGATCCCATTAATATAAAAAATTGAGTCCCGCAATCATAAAAATAATTTGGTTTTCACATATGTTGTAATTTATAATATGGTGAATAAAAAATGTCATAAATATCTTACACAACATCTTTCACAAGATTCAATAACGGATAATTTTTGAATTATGGCATATCAAAGATGTTCTGTAGAGAGCACAAGTTTTACACTTTCGATTAATCACAACTCAAGAACATCTATTATTTTAGCCATGTGAAAACCAATTCATTTCATGGAAATTCAATTTTTCCATATAATTACAAGATTTTTTTATTATTGCCGCCAACAATATAGCTAAAAAAATAAAACTAAAGAGATGATTCTAAAAAAAAATAAAAAGGGCGAAAGCCCGAAAAGCGAAGTGTCTGGTGTTACCCTGTCCATGATTCATGTGGATATTTTCAGAGATCGAGCGCGCAACCGTGCCCAATCGCATCACCTCGACCAATTCGAAGCGATTGAACCGAGGCAAGTCAAAGTCCGGGCAAGGGACGATGGTCAATCGGGTTTTCCATCAGCAGGTGAGCACGCCGGCGATGCAGAAGAGCACCGCGCGATTAATTCACAACAACAGATACGCGACCTCGTCGACCACCGCGGATCCGCGCGCTCCCTTAATCAAGGACCAGGGTAATGCCTTCAAGCATAACAACCGCAACGATAACCATCAGAATCTCAAGGATCGCAGCGACGCGTCCACGATCATCGCCAGCAAGCGGGTTTTGCCGCTCTGTCTCGTATTGTTCTCGATAGTGCGATAAGACGTAAGGTGATGAGAACTAAGAGAACGACGATTACGACGATAGCTATCCCTACGCAAAAGGAATTACTCAGTCAGCGTGAAATTGTGTTCATCGATCCGACGAGTAGCGAGGCCAAGCGAAAGAAACTCACGAGAGTCTCGTAAACGAAAAATGCGAGGGGGAATTCTCACACAACGACGACGAGGGGTTGATGGAAGAACTAACTGTTCCGTTTAATTAGCCAGATCAACATTCTTAATAGCACGAGAAGAAATCGAAAGAGAAGCGAACAACCAACACTTGGTGGACGCTTTTACAGGGTAAGATCGTAGAGAAGCGAGTACTTGGACACGTGACAGGGTGAAAATAGGGGAGGTGGGAGTTTGATCCGTTAATGCGAGCGAATGTTGCCCGAGATAACCGCTGCGGATTTTTACGGAAAGACGCTTACGAATGTATTTTTTATGATCCTTTTATCCGTTGCTAACGTGCGAAAAGTTCGGGGATGAAACGTGCTCTTTGGTTGGATTAAATATATAATATTATCACTATTATCCGGATAATTTTAACTCTCGGACACTCACTGCAGTTTATTTCAAGCTATATTAAAATTATTTATCTTTTATTATAAAATAAACTTGCACTAATTGTATTATATCTACAAATGTTTTTGTTTGTTAAATATTATTAAAATAAAAATAAATATGAAAATAAATATGATGGAAATAAATGATGATGACGAATAAATAAATATATAAAATAATATAAAATAATAAAAATTAATAAATCAACTAAAATTGATTACTGAATGAGAAAAATACAAAATAGAAGAGGCGAACTAAGTCCAAGAGTTGAAAACACGAGGAAGAAATTTTTGTTATTCAAGGAGCGAGCAAACTATTCTTCTTTTTTTATAAAATTAATAGGTAACTTGGAGTAATTTTATAATGTTAGCATCAAAAGCCTTACATATGCAGGGTGTCTATCTGAAATGAGTTGTCATTGTCGTTGATGATGGGTAGAACGCGCAGAATTAATCGCTTACATACAAAATGCAATCTTGACGTATATATTATATCTCATAACAACAGTGACAACTCACATCAGTTAAAATGAACATCCGTTACGTTGCCATTGTAATACGTCTTCATCAATGAATCACACGAATTTGCCGAACAATTGTGCGATCGTACCCAAATGCAGACAAATAATTAGCATACTAATTTAGTAATTTGTATGTAAGAGATAAGATGATAATATCTTTGTTTATTGTGATGTAAGAAAGCGAAATGATATTATACTTGGCATCATAGCGAGCATTTTCACGTCATATCCAAAATAAGATCCATATCTGTAGCACATATAATAGCATACCAAATATATATATATATATATATATACATATAGGTCACTTCGGTTATTTTATGTATTTTTTTAAATTACTTGTAGACACACAAATACTGTACCTTATATGTCGGTAATGAAGCAAAACCACGTTATAGGTATATAGCATAAGTGGTGAAACGCGAGGAATGACCGATATATCGCTTTTTAAATAAAACGCGTAAAATTAAACTAGGCTTTATCAGTTTTTTTTTATAAGATATGCTCGGTTATCATCTCAGAATTGCAAATGTGCATTTTAGTGATGATATATGTATATGATAGCATAAATGTATGTATATGTTGTGTATAAAAATACGAGAAGTTAACAGCAAATGATCTTATAATAATTTTTAGTAATATTACAAAGATCATTTAGTTGATGTTCCTCGCAAAACTATGAACCATATCTTGCTCTGTAATTAAGACAATTATGTAAAGCGATATTAGTAATGTTCAACTTGGAGAATATTAAGGTTGACAGAAAAGATAAAATAAGTCAACGATCTTAAACAATTCTATAATGTCCATCAATATGGAGTACAAGTCTTAGTTACATCGCGTGGTTTACTGTCATGGAGAAGGTAGCATATCCCGCACAGAGCAAAAATGTGTTAAATGTACCTATCTAATGAACCCTGTATATCACAGAATGCTCAATATAATAACTTTACAATAACTATATTAACAGAATGTTGTTGTTTATAGGACGGAAAAATATATTATGAGAATACAATGAGAAAATGTGCTCAAATTGGATGATATGGCTTTGAGGAGGAAAAAATGTGTTGACAAATAAGAAAAAAAACTATCATGCATTTAGCAGTGATGTTCGTTTTGACTTTAAGTCTAGCTTGAACGAGTGTATTTTTTATGTATTATTGAAACGACAAATATAGCTGTTTGTCGACAAACAGATATCAAAACTGCTTTTTATTTTCTCACATCTCGGACCTTAGATACATAAATATATACTAGGTTATAATTTTGGAATACACAAATGCATTGGTCAGAATGACCCATGTAAGAATGTTACGACCAAAATAAAATACTAAAGGCCATACAAACGCAACAAAAAGCCACATATGGACTCTTTCTTTCCCCAATCCTAGCACATTTCCAAAAAGTACCCTGAAAACTAAAATTAAGAATTTATTAAATATACACAGAATATGTTATGTGTATTATATACATGAGTATATATTTTAGTGATATTCAATAAAAATGTTTACATACCCAACCTTTCCTAGCCGCTTGTCAAACAAATTCGGTGCCAGTGATCTAATGTACGTACAGGTGCATATTAGCAATAATATTACAGTCAGTAGGCTCTGAAAATTAAATATGGCAGACTGCCAAAAAATAATACATTAGTATGTCTAAAAAAATATTTATCTCTGAATTGTAAAGTTTATAATGTTACTAATGAGTTTTGCAATAATTGCTTATCTATTAAATTAATAGTAACGGAATCTCAATCACTATATTCTTAACATGGATTTTTTTTATAACAAATTTTGTAATTCGGATATTTAGTTTCACTAAACCTGAGAAATTATCAAACGTCAATGACATTATAGGTTATACGATCCATTTCAAATATCAGTCACGATCTCAAAATATCAATTGTAATTACCATAATGTTGGAATGAGCTCGACTCAAGAAACTGTAAATGAATCAAGTCTGAGAAACTACAAATAATTGAGTTAAAAATTCTTCAGTAAACCAAGCACCATTCAACATCACTTTCGTGTACGGCGCACAATGGCGCGCAATTCGACACTCCACGCGCATCAAGAAGTCTGGGAGTGAAGTAGCGTATTTTGAAATGAAGTGAAAATTATAAAAGTGAGCAAATTCTTTAGATATTGACCAATTAAGTTATAAGTATTTGCTAGTAAATTTGTTCATTTTTGTAATTTCTACCTTAAACGAGGAGCATAGACTCTTGTATAATGTATAAAACATATGTATGTAAAACATAAGAAACTCAACCAATCAGACTTCTTTATTTCATGGAAAGGAAGGAAATAAAGGTCTTTGATTGGTTCATTTTCTTATGCATATTTTGTGTTATGCATTATACAAGAGCCTGTGCTCCCCGTCTTATTTCGAGATACACAATCGACCCCTTGTTTACGTTGTTTGCACTTTTTGTACACATTATTTCACTTTCTCTCTCTTTAACACCAAAATGTACCTATAATTATCTATATTTTGTATAAAAATTTTACGGGAGTTCAAGCAACACAACAGACATTAGATAAAAGTCCGATAAAAATTTCCAATTTGGACGTTTTGAATCATAATTCTTAGGGCGAATTTACACTTTGACAGAAAAGTAGCAGCCAATCAGAATTAAAGGTAAATTTTCACGAGCTGTTCAAACCGGCTGTTTTAGCAACAAAAACAAATCATTCGTCAATTTTGACCACGTGATCTTTTTTATTGCTGAAACAGCCGGTTTGAGCGACTCATGAAAATTTACACTGCTATTTTTCTGCTTTCTTTTTTTCAAAGATGTAAATGTGCCTTTATACTTAATATAGGCCTAGTTTCCACTGAGGGTTTAAATCGGAATGTAAGAACCAATTACAGTCGAGCATTCCCCTGTCGTTCGAGATTTCGAACAGAAAAAGAATTTAAAAAATCACATTTGAATAATTTGATCACATAATCAATGCGATTGATCAATTCTTTCTTCATCCGAGATCTTGGACAGATTTCTAGCATTGTGGACACAAGCCCTTATAAATATAGAACTCTAGTTTATTACAGTTGCACCACAATATATACAGTAGTGCATCTCATCTTTGATGTTAATGTTTCCCAAAATGGAGTGCGCACGCGAGAAATAAGTAAGTTCTCTAATAGCATCATCTGAATTTCTTTCTCAATTGCTCTTTATTTTTCCGCTCTCTTTCTCTCTAGATCGTTTGTACATCAATATATATAATCTAAATGTAATGAAACTAAAAGAAATAGATTTATAATTATAATGCATTGCAAAATAAAAAAAATACAAAAATAAGAAAATATAAAATTATATAAATGTTGTACGATACAAATATTATACTGTAAAAATATTTTAATTAATGACTGGAACATATATGATGCTTGTTCTCCTGTTAGATCGCTTGCGTTTTAATAAATTATTAGAATTGCACCACATAGTATGCAGATTTCTAGCTAAAACGAAAGCAATTCAGCAATTATATATATCACTCAGTATTTAAACGAGATTGATGAAATTGGTGTGATTGCAGGTATGTGTGTGTATGTGTATATGTGCGTGAATGTAAGTGTGTGGTGTATGATTTCAATTAATGGTTCACCTCTCATTGTATTGTTGTCTTATTTTCGATTTTGTTGCTGGTGGGCTTTGTAACAGCAATTTTGCTGATGCCTAACCATTTGCAGCTACTAACTGACTATTGTATTGTATTTTATTTTATGTTATGTCTACTATAGTCTATTGTATCATATTTTATGTCTATTATTCTGTTAACATATATAGTCTTTCTCATAAAGCTTCGCAATAAACTAAATTAAATTAATTAAACTAAATTAATCATGATTTTCTTTTCTATCTCTTTCTCTGATCCGTATTTCAGGTATTCGAACATTTAAATGGCCCTGAAAGAGAGAATGGAAAGAGAAAGAAGTGAGATAGAAGTTTAAATGGCGTTACTGGGCAACTTACTTATTTCGCGCATGCGCACTTCATTTTGAACAACATAAAATCAGGAGAATTGCGCTACTGTATATACTGTGGCTACACCTTCCACTGGTTCCTTTCGGGCGCGGCAATTGCCTATCCTGGCAAGAGAAGACGAAAATAGTGGAGTGGGGGGCGAAGCGACGGCCTACCGCCGAATGTTTTGCCCTATTGTTCGGGGATGTCGCGAAAAAGAATGGATTTCGATTGATTCTGATTTAGGCAAAGTGAAATCCAAGCGGTGGCGATGTGTTTTGCGCCTGTCGAGATGAGACTAGTGCACTGCGACAAGCCTAGACTGCGGTAATACCAGTGGAAAACGTCGAGGAAATCCACAAACGACTCTTTGTCATGGACATGCAAGCTTCTAATGGTACGCACTTGTTTTTCTATTCGGCACGTTTCGCCTCTGACCGGTCGATCGTTTTCTTCTCAATGACGACGCTATGTTCTCAACCTTCGCGTTTATTTCGAATCAAACGCTCGCCGGAGACCATTAAACGCGCGAGACACGCAAGTATGTGATAGAAGGGGTTAAATAAAAATATGTTCTTCAGATTTTCTAGCGTCGTTTTTGGAGCCTGAACATTATCTGCAAATTTGCGCAAAAAATTACAATAAAATCGTGCAGTTCATTAGGGAGTTTTTACAATAACATGGATCCAGATATGGATTCATGAATGTTAAAGTCACATTATCTTTTTCTTAATTACTTGTTGAGAAGAAGATAACCTGACTTTAGTGTATACCATATTTGGATAAATGGTATTGCAAAAACTCTCTATTATCTCGATAGCTCTCTCGTAATTATGTGCGGCGCTACAGGTGAATATTGAATGAAATTACATTCCATAATATAGAGATTATAGATTATCATCCATAATAGAATTTGTCCAAGTCTAAAACATGTGTCATTAGTATAATTAATTGAATAATTTATGTTATTCGTGTATCTCAGTTTCTACATGTATTACTTAAATGGAGTCTCCCTTAAGTTTGGAATAAGATTTTTTCTAATACATTCTAGTATTCTTCTATGTAATGTACTACACAATTTTCTTCATGAACAGAATTTACGAAAGAACTTCTGTGTTAATAATTCGACTAAAAGTAACAATTTGTGAATAATGTGAATATAGGAATGGATATGTGTATGAATACAGTGTATACTTCCATCCCTGGATTTCCTGAACAACTAGGAATGGTATGGATGGGAGATATGATGCTAGGGGAACCTGCTCATGAACTAATGCTGGATCCCCGTCAAAGCGAGAGTCCGTTTTTCTCACATGGTTCACATTCCTATGAAGATCTGAGAAATCATATTGCTTCTACCACTATGGTGCGCTACATACCGCAACAGTTCTCAAACGAATGTTCTGAACCTGATGAAGCAATGGATGCTGTTGATACCCATGAGATACAACAAGTGAGTTTTGTTTTTACAGAAGAAACTAATTTATGCATGTATTCTTAATATTATGATTTTCCTATTTTTCAAGGATTATGATTCACAGTCCGAAAGGCCTGAGATAAATGATTATTTAACATTAGAAGATTACATGGGTGATGAAGAACGGGAACAAATTGTGAGCAATGCAGCGACTCAAACTACTCAAGACAATCGCAATCGAAAAATAAAACCTATAAAGCATCCAGGACTTGTTTTAAAAACGCCAATTGCTTATCAGCCTCATACTGATTTAAATTTTATTCCTATTCGCAAAGATGGCATAGGTAAGCGTAATCATTACAAAAAGCCAAAATATGTATTTAAACAAAAAAAATATTGTTTAATCTACAATTTTCTGTTAAAACTACAACTATTGAAAAAAGAAATAGAAGATTACATATTAAACTGTGTATGCAACTTGACTATTTATATCTTTCTATCATAGAAAATGTTTGCTGTATAAAGTCTTAAATTTTTATTTTACAGCTGTTTGTGAAAAATGCGGTGCTATTGGAGTAAAACATGCCTTTTATACAAAGGAGCGTAGATTTTGCAGTAGAGCATGTGCACGTTCTTCAGAATACATGATACCTACTGCTGACTCCACATATAGTCCATCTCATTCGATGGATCAGCCAATATCCACAAACCAAACTTCTATTGAAACAAAATCAGTGGATGTAAGTTATTGAATTTACAGATAGAAAATATATGACAACAAACTACATACAATAAACAAGAAACAACCTACCTTAAGTGCTTTAAATAATTACTGTGAGTAATTATTTAAAGCGCTTAAATAATTACTCGTAAATGAAAAGCGTGAATTTATATACCACGTTTGTAGTATTTTGTGCGCTGAATTGGTTTTTCAAGATGATACTTTTTTGCAATAAATTTATTTACAGATTTTTAGTACATTAAAATAATGCCAATTGAACCATCCAATTATTAAATTAATTATTAAATTAATTGCTTGTCAATTTAATTTGTAATACTACTATAGTTCGGTTACGTTTCTGAGTCTGAAAAAACCAATTTGGCCCAATTCAAGAGACTACAAATGTGGTAAATTCACATATGATTATTTAAAGCACTTGAGATCCAGGTCCAACCGGTATAGGTATTGTTTCTTGTTTATATATTTAGAATATAGGTCCTAATAAATTATTTTTAAATCAATTTCAAGGTTATTGTAAAAGAAGAAGTTAAGGAAGATGTTAAGGAATTCGTAGAATCGGAAAAGGACAAAGTTAAATTAGAGCCAGTAATGCCAGAAGATTTACCGGTTAGAAGAAAAAGAACAGCGGAAATGGCAGGGTCCTACGACTGGACATCACAGCTTGTTGAACCTGGATTTTGTGCCGCACCAGTCTCTTGTTTCAAACATGTTAGTTTCTCTAAGAAGTTTTTAGTTTATCTTTTAGATATATAGTTTTTTTTTTCTTTTACAGAAGTCTTGTTATATTATCAATCTTTCTTTTAGGCTCCTATATCAGAGATTTGGGATAATATCACAGTAGGTATGAAAGTAGAGGTCGAAAATACCGATTGTGATGAAGTATGCGAGGCTTTCCCAGATTCGTTTTGGGTTGCAACTGTATTACGTATATGTGGATACAGAG